CCCTGGTGGACATGGTGATTGGCAGTCGGTGGGCATGTGAGGGCTGATAGAGCTTGGTTGACCTTTGGCTGCTTTGCCTGTTGCCACACTGCTGCCCTAGGTCCTTTGCTGCCAGTCCTGTTCCTGCCTGATGTTGGAGCTGCCATTCTATGGCCCATGTCCTGTGCTGGAGCTAGAGCTGTTGTCGTGGCAATGGGCACGTGGCAGCAATAGCTTAGGCATTGGCACAAGGCATATGGTGACAGCTGGAGCTCCCAGGTCAGAGCTGGAACTGCCACCACTGTGTACCAAGTTGGGGCCCTGTGGTTGAGATCCAGCCCTGGCACAAGGTGAGTTTGATGCCTCTGTCTTACAGCTTGTGGTTGATATTGAGTAGAAATATGAGTGAGTGTCTAGCGAGTAATTTAGTAGAGGTCCTCTATGCAGGTGTATTAACAGCAGTCTGCTACAGTAGTAGGACCATTATATTTTACCTAGTTTCCTCTGTTTTTATGTAACCCCATGAAAAATTTTTTAGTTTAAAGGTAAGTTTGTAATTTAAGGTTACTAAATGCTAATCCAAGGAGCACGTACATTGGTAATAACCAGCTATGGTTAACTATATAATTATGATACCAGTCTTAATGAATATTCCCGAACTGGGTGTTAAGTAATACAGACATCCCGCATCTTATGCGGGGGTTACGTTCCAAAGGCAGCGCGTAAAGGTGAAAATCACGTATAGTGAAATTGCATATTACTGTACCAGCGATGACTGCCTCTGCCTCCAAAACCTCCCGCCGCCACCGCGGAGCCACGCTTAGAGCTGTGCAGCCGGCGCGGAGGCGGTCACCAGTGGCAGCGTGGTGGTGGCCGGGCCTCCAGGTAAGCGGCAGCGCCGTGTGCAGACTTAAGCCCCGCCCCCCCTCCCCACCCACATATAGTTGAATTAGTGCAAGTTAAATGCGCATAAGATGCGGGATGCCTGTACTTAGACTTAATTCTGACTATGCTGGAATGATATTCCGACCCGTCAAGAACTGACTATTATATCTATTCACTCCAGGTAAGCGGCAGCGCCGTGTGCAGACTTAAGCCCCGCCCCCCCTCCCCACCCACATATAGTTGAATTAGTGCAAGTTAAATGCGCATAAGATGCGGGATGCCTGTACTTAGACTTAATTCTGACTATGCTGGAATGATATTCCGACCCGTCAAGAACTGACTATTATATCTATTCATAAAAAACAGATCTGTCTCATTAGGAACTACTATGGCTAGCATTGCTTTAATATTAATCATACTTCTGGTGAGCAAACACTACTGTATTTTATAGCCATACACATTTCACAGAAAGACAGGGTATATTTTACAATTTTTCATTTGGTCAGACAACACACAGAAGTCCTTAATCCCCCTTTCTTTAATTGGCATCTATAGTACATTTACCTACTTTAGGAAACAGGAAATTATCACTCCGTTTGTAAGTGATAATTTGTGCCCTATCTACAATAGGTTTGTATTTGTAAGTCCCTCTTTATTTACATAAGTAAATTGCCTAAACCTAGATCACTGTCTCAAGTTAATGTTTAAATCTTATGGGCTAATTAGTAGCTAACTTAAAAAGGAAGACTAAAAAATAAATTTAGGAAAGATTGTACAGACAGAAAATTTCAGTGAGGCCCATGATATACTTGAGGTTGGTTTAAAACTGCAGTTAACCATAGGAGGTTTCATAGTTTTTTTTAGGGACTGGAAGGAACCTTAGAGATCATTGGGTCCACCTCCCCTGCACTTGGGCAGGCAAGACTGCTGGGGTTAGATGGCCAAGATGAGCATCAAGACACTTTTTGAAGATTGCCAGGGTGGGTGACTGTACCACCTCTGGGGAGAACCTGTTCCAACACCTTAGTACTCAACTTGTAAAGAAGTTTTTTCTTATGTCTAATCTGAAGTGGTCTTCAATCAGGTTGTGCTTGTTGCTTCTAGTCGTCCTCTGGGGGGGCCTTGGTGAATAGTTGTTCTCCCAGGCCCTTATGTATTCCCCTGATACACTTACAGGCTGCCACCAAGTACCTTCTGAGTCTTCTCTTCTCCAGGCTGAACAGTCCCAAGTCTTTCAACCTCCCCTCATATGACCTGGTCTTTAGGCCTCTAAGCATGCACATGGCCCTCCTTTGGACTCTCTCAAGCTTCTCCACATCCTTCTTGAAGTGCAGCGCCAAGGGCTGGATGCAATACTCCAGCTGCAGTTTCACCAAGGCCAAGTAGAATGGGAGGATGACAACTTTAGCCTTGGTCAAGATACCTCAATAGATGCATGCTAGTGTTTGATTAGCTCTGCCAACTGCAGCAGTGCATTGGTGGCTCATGTTCATTTTGTTGTCTGTCATGACACCCAGGTCTTGTTCACTTGTGGTGCTGGCTAGCATAGCACTGCTGAATTTGTAAGTGTGTTGTGGATTATTTTTCTCCAGATGGAGCACTTTGTATTTCTCTGTATTGGGCAGACCTCAACCTGATGTTGTTTATCTCGCAAGCCTGTCTAGGTTGGTCCGTAGTGCTACCCTGTCCTGGAATGTGATCACACTCCCCCATGGCTTGGTGGCATTGACTAACTTGGCCAGTTTGCATTTAATACCCAAATCCAAATTGTTGATGAACATGCTGAATAGCACTGGTCCAAGTACTGAGACCTGAGGGATGCCACCTCCTGCCATGATGACTCAGTCCTGTCATAACTCAGGTTATTTCTGTATTTTATTTTTCTGAGTGCATAATATGCATTGACCTAGCAGTTATTCAAGTTCACTGTTAGCTAGTAGTTTTGTGTGTGTAGTAACTTAAAAAAAAATTAAAAGTCTTGAATAACATAAATGTTTCATGGAAGGTAACGGAGGGTGAGAATGTGGTGTGAAGTAGGCTTAGAAATGAAAACGTAGCTTTTTGAGAAGCATGAGAGTTATGAGGTTGTCAGGGAAGAGGGGGACAGCTGGTATTGGTGAAGAGAATAGGAGTTGGGAACAGGGCATAAGTAGAGGTGTGCCAATACATCGGTCTTTATTGTATCGACACTGAAAAAGGAAAATTGACATTATTGGGAATCAGCTTTTTTGGCTTATTTCGGCTGATTAATGTCACTGATAAATGCTGCTTGCATGTGCGCAGCTGCAGCATGTACGGGTCCAGGAATGCAGCCCGGTAGTGTGGAGAGCAGAGTTCAGCTGTAAATCTATTGGGAGAGAAGGGGTGGGGGGAAGGAAAGGGGCATGGCGGGGATGCAGATAGAGTCTCCCATGGTGGGGGAGGGAGTGGGGCTGGGGCAGGGGCAGGTGCTGCCCAGCTGGGGCCAGGCATGGGACAGAGCTGCAGCTTGTCAGGGGTGGGAGGTGGCTTCTGCGGCTACACGCACCACTGGGGGAGGCACAAGGGGCACATACCCCTTGGATCTGCACTCGGGGTGAGGGCGGGCTGCCTGGTGCAGCCTGGGAGAACCCTGGGCTCTTCCCAGCGGAGGGGCTGGGCCAGGGCTACGCTTGGGAATGGGCAGCGGTGGCGCTGGGAAGGGGGCTAAGGGGTGGGCTACACCCACCGCAAAATTTGCCATAGTCCCCTACTAGACCTGGCCTCACCTGCAGTGGCAGCCCACCCTTGCCCTGTGCAGATCTGGGGGGGCATGTGCCCCCCATGCCTTCTCTGGGGGTATGCACAGTGGTGAAAGCCACCCTACCCTCTGGACAAGCCGCTCGCGGCTCTGTCCCATACCCTTTGCAGCACCAGCTGGGCAGTACCTGTCTGTGCCCCAGCCCGACTCCCTTCCTTACTGCGGGGGCCTCGATCTGCGCCTTCCCCCCCCCTTCCCCCCCCCCCCCAAACAGTCTTACCAGCTGCTGGGCTTGCATATTGGCAGTCAGATAGGTATCGGTCAATATGGCTCATTAATTATCGGCCCAAAAAATCTTTATTGGCTCATCTGTAGGCATAAGGGAAACAGCAGAATATTACATGGAAGATAAAAAAGGCTTTGGAGGAGTGTAAGCATGACATTCTTTGAAGGTGGTAGGACAGACCTGGATGGTGGCAGGAGGATTGTGGTTTGGGTTATCCCATGCCTTCAAGGGAAGTATTTACTTGAAGATACTGATTATAGAAAGAATAGTTTGTACTAGGGTTGTCAAATTTAGTTGGCATATAAAAGTTCTGAGCTGAATACAGCTTTGGGACCAGTGGGAGCAGTATTAACTTCCACAGATGCCTGAGCTGTTGTGCTGGGTCAGGGAGTCACGGGGGATAACATGGCCATTTCTTGTGCTGCTGCCACTGAGAAGAATTCCCAGTAATCCAAGGAATATGGGGGAAGGGCCAGTGATGGTGATGTTAACTTCCACTGCTCCTTGAGCCACTGGACTTGGTGGTGTTAATGCTGCTACTCACTCCACCCCAAATTTCTGGCCCCTTCATGAGCCCCACAGGCTGGATAACAGCTGCACATGCCATGTATTTGACACAAGTTGATTATGACATAAACAGGACTATGTTAGTAGAACAAAGACTCGTGTGTGCGCGCATTTTTGGAAGCAGGATTCTGTCAGGAAATAGGTAAAAGTGTTGTTTTTTGGCTGCTCAGGGCAACTTGATGTAGGAGAGCAGAATGTGAAGAGGTAGGATTTTTATGTTTTTTCCCTGATTCCCTCTTTTGTCATGTGAGAGAGAGAATGACAAAATAACGAAATTTTGAAATTTTATTATACAAAAGTGCATGGTTGTTGTTGCTGTACTTGGTTTGTAAGCTCTTCTGGGCACCTAATGTGGGGAAACATCTGCTTTTGTTGGGTCTTCTGACCAGTGCCAGAACTATAAAGGTACTATGCCTTTAGGAATTTTATTAGATTTTGATACAAGCATCAATTTTTAAAAAATCTCATATTATTTACGGGGGGAGGGGGGAGAGAAAAAAAACCCATGTTAAATCTTACTGTTTTCCTAATTAGAAATTCTAACATCTTACTTTTTTTTTTCAGGATTCTGAGCAACAATAAAATAACAGAGTTGAAGAATGATTCCTTTATTGGATTAAGCGTTCTTGAAAGATTGTAAGCCCTACTTTAAAAATCATTTTCATTTACTTGATGTTTTATAATTTCACATTAATGCATATAAATAGTTATAGCTGAATAATTTATGTATGTAATTGTTCCCAATGAAATTTAAATTAACGTTGTCCATTACTAGAGGAGGAGTTTTACAAAAGCTATTTTATGAGACCGTGTTAAAAAAAATTCTGTGGCTGTCAGCCAGCCCAGTGCTTCATAGAAAATGACTAGAAAATTCATGATTGCCTAGTTATAGTGTCATTCTGAGGTAATGTTGGGGCATAGTCTCAGGGAAGCTGTTTAGACTACAATGATGTCACACTGAGTTTGCCTTATTGTTCTTTCCACTGGCATTCATAGAAAGGACAAAAAGGCAAAAACTGGCAAAGAAGAATGTGCTTGGGAAAAGGTTTGGTACTTCATAGCATAAAGGGGAGGAGGAATTAATTTCTTTTTACAGGGGAGGCAGATGAGAAAGAAGGTCTGCTTGGGAGCTGCTTTTTGCAGCCTGAAATTCTCCTTTTCCCTAAAGGTTCAGTATCATCTTGTGCATGGTAGCTGTTTTACAAAGCTCCTGTGTTTGCAATCTCCTGTACATGTTCTTTTTATGGCAAGAAAATAAGAATGGCCTTCAGCAGTAAAGGGGAAAGGGAGGGACCACTCATCGTCTAGATAAGAGGAAGCACCTTAGCTGTTTTTTGAGTGCACTGACTCCTTTCCCCTTGCGGGCAGTGCCAGTGCATGCATAATGATGATCAATTAGTGAGGTAGCAGGCCAGGGCTGGTAGGGTAGAAGTGAAATATTAGAAGAACAGTGATTTTTGCAGGCTAATTGACTGGAAAATAGCTGGTACCATTTTTTTTTCGCCTAGGAAGAATTCTGTAGGATTGTTGGCTTTAGGTAAATTTAGAAATACCTTGTGCAGCCTTCATGCAGATTACAAAAATATTGCAAAGGGAGCAGAAGGAAGATTGAATGTGTGGTACTCCTGAGACCATGTAGAGGAGCTGACTGTCCTCAACAAGTTTAGAGAAATTGCTGAGCATGCCTAGACAACAGACATTGTGGAAAGTGTCGTTTATCAGAAAAAAAAGTTCCTTACGCCTTGAGTTAATAGAGGAGGCTTGTAAACATTTTCCAGCAAGTGCTAGCACTGATTTGGCTCCTATGGTGTTAACAATGTTAGGAGCTGTAATGTAAAAGACTTGCTGGTTGCTGACAGCATGATAACCATTCTGTCATATAACTGCTCAGAAGGATTCCAAATTATAGTATTTATAGCTCCTGGCCTGTGTATACTAGGATTTCAAATACCAGTGGAATATTTTGAGCTTTTGCAAAATTTCTCTAACTTAAACTAAATTTTAGAAACGTACCAGAGAAGGAATTCAATTATCTACAAAGTATTTGGTTGCTCATCTACAAACAACTTTTGGTGTTCGATAGGTGAACTTACTATAGACTAGAAAATCCAAATAGAGAAGCAAACATCTGGAGAAATGAAAGTTAACTTCACAGATGAAAACTGCCTGATTAATAAGGAAAAACAAGCATCTTGACTAAAAAGAAGCATGGATGAAATCCTAGTTTCACTGAAAGCAATAGCAAAACTCCTCGTACTTAAGGGGGACCAGAATTTTAACCTAAATGTCTCAGCTGCCAGAACATTGGTTCTGATGCCTTTAGCCTGAAAGAGAAGTATAACCCAACAGACTGGATATTTGATTTAACTTATTAAAAGCACACAGTTACACACAAAATAGAATATGACAGTGTTATAAAAAATACATAAGCAAGAAAAAGTTTAGCAGACAGCAGCTATGGTTATATTTTTTTTATTTGTAATATTGAAGCGATACAATTACTGGGCTAACAAAATTTATTACTGTTAACCTTATTCTTCTCATTGTTTGCCTTTATTTGTTATACTTACTTGGATTCTTTCCTTAGTGTACCCTTTGAACTTGCAGGCGAGTTTGTCTTTCTTTGTGTTTGGTCAGAGGTTGATGGTGCAAACCCTGACCCTGACTGGGGCCTCTGTGTTACATTATGTTCATTGTAATTGCAATTGTAAATTGGTTGTGGGTAAACAAGCAGTGTGTTTTGATAGCTTATCACTTTCTACAAAGTGATGTGACTAACATCTGTCATATCTATTTCCCATATAATTCCCTCCCCAGGGAAGAACTATATAGGCGGTAGAATGTTTTGTTCTGGAAGGAGTTTGTTGGTACTGGTGTTCTTTTTCTTTGTGTTTTAGCAGAGGTGATTGAGAAGTTCATTTTACTCTTGGAATACAAGTTTGTGAGGTAATTTGTTTCTATGAGAGTTTGTACCACAGTTTTTGGTTGCCTCCCAAGTAAGCTCTGCTTCTCTAGCTTTATCTGTATTGTAAAAAATGCCATTATCCCTGAGAAGCAGTGTTATTCACCACATTCCAGTCTTCATTGCAGAGCTTGGGAAGCTTTCTTAGGTACTTTGGGCCCAGGGGATAGGGGTAGACAACATTTTTGCCCAGTGATGAAAAAAACGCAATGTAAGGTGCTGCTGGCATGCAAAAAAACCCAAAACTGGGTTGGGGCACATGGCAGGATGCACTGTATATTAATATAGTTAATAATTATTATAAATGTTGCTTTTTTACAGTAAAATCTTAAACCTGGTGACAGTAAATAAAATTTCATATACTACCCTTGTTGTGTATTCTTTTTTTGCTAAGCATGCTGTGATGAGAGAGAGAGAGAGAAAGAGGGAAAGA